AGGGGGAGGTGAGGTGTGGAGGTAGGTCTTTGCTTCAGAAGTATACTTGCTTTGGTTTTTAAAGACAGCTTTGTTGGCTCTGTTGTGTAAAATTACATGTATTTCCGCACGAACTGAAGGCTCAGGCGTTGCAAATAACGTACTGTGGCCTAGATTGAAAGCCAAAAAGGGCCGACAAACATATCTTTGTCAACGACCAGGACAGTGAAAGTCATACAGCATAACACATGCATGTATAATGCTGAGTTGTCAAACATGCTTGTAACGTGTTGATCTTTGGAAGGCAAACTCTATCTATCCATCATTCTAACACCGACGTTGTAAGTTATTTAATGATTTTATTCTGTTAATTTCTCTATCAGTGTGTCAATGTGTCGCCAGTGTCTTACCCCAGGTAATGAGTAATGACCTCTTCTCACGAGATAACTGAAAAATATTCAAGTTTATATGCAGCTAACAGCATGGAAAAGTCTTATTATTTTCTCTCTCGTTTGGAATAGAATCTACACATAAGATATCATTTTCATTTTAAGAGCAAACAGTGTGGGCATAACTTTTTGTGCACAGTCTCTCCGAGAGCCAATGGTACTATTATTTATACCCATTCTTTTACTCTGATACTTGTATCATTTCCACTCTCTCTCTCTCTCTCTCTCTCTCTCTCTCTCTCTCTCTCTCTCTCTCTCTCTCCCTCTCTGTCTCTCCTTGTCGATACACCTGGATACCTGGCGGTGTCATCTCTGATTCAGAGGTTGATGTGTAATGACCCTCAGGCCAGTCCATGTTCTTATGTTGTGCATCCATGTTATTCTTTGTCTTTCCCTGGCTCTCATGCCCCACATCTTTCCTTCAAGCACCTTTTTTACAATGCTCTCGTGTCTTTTTAAGTGGCCAAAGTACTGCACTTTTCTACATTTTATTTTATTCAGCAGGGTTTGTCTTGTGTGTAGAATCTGACACACCTCATTGTTTGTCTTTTTCAACTTATTCTGGCCATTCTACGACAGAAACACATCTCAAACGTATTTATTTTCTTTTCTTTTCAAATATATATATGTA